GAAATTTATGTAATTTAAAACTTGTTCTTTATGTTTTTTTTAATTCCTTAACAAAAAATCGCTGCTATAGCAGCGATTTCACTTTTAATTTTTATTTATTTATAAAAACGCTGCTAAAGCAGCGATTTTAAAGAAATAATGATTTATTTTTTTTGAAAAAATCGCTGCCAAATGCAGCGGTTTTTATTTCTTTTTACGGAACGACGTCAATTTTTAACAGAAGAAAATCGATCCGTCAGTAGGGATTTTTCCCTTTTGGTTAATTTTTTTTTTATGTGCCTTTTTTGTTTTTTGAAGAAAAAAAATGACCCTTTTAAATTCGGACTCCCTTTTTGTTGATATTTTAATTCATTAGAGTAATAAGGTAACCATATTGTCAAACTACAAATGATATAATGTTTTTAAAGAATTTTCAAAAAATGTTAATAATATAAAAGGAATTAAAAAAATGTTAATAATAAAAAATGAATAATGTGACATGGCATCCTATTAGGAGAGAGATAATATTTTTTTTGTGTCAAGTATATTTTGAGGAAAAGAGGTAAAGTTCAATGATATTGTGGTTCTAAAACAAACATAAGTGATATTTCTAGGTAATTTTCCAAACATGGGTGACTATCCAGGGAAATTACTCCAAAAGTGAAGGATATTTTTAGACCAAAAGGCGGATGAAGGATAGTTTTGAACCTTTTCCAATAGGTCAGGGTAGTCTTGACCCTTTTCCGATTAATATATTATATCTTATTGTTTATGTAAAATGACTTTTTTTATAAAAAAAAAAAGAACACTGGACTATTTTTCTTCCTATATATTTTAGAACTCTTTTTCTTGCCATATATTTTAGGAGTCAATATTATAAAGATAATTAAATAATTAACGACCAGATCACTTTTTTCAATAACGGTCTTAATTAAATAATTTGTAATAACAAATTCCTAGCTAGGAAATCATAAGAAATAGAGAAAAGTTTAAGCAACTTCTTTCAAATGTACACCACTATCTCGACTATTCTGTCAAATACCTTTTGATGGATTTTTTTTTATATATATATATATATACCGCTATCGACTATTTTTAGTTTAAGTTGACGAGTTGTTTAGGTTAAATCTTCAATTTTTAATTTCAAGTTGCAAAACATTCAAATTAAAGAAAACAAAGAATAGATGGATGTTGATGTGGCTACGGTCATCCTGAGCAGGCTATCTATGTGGTCACTTCTACGATTCAAATGTGTTCAAAGTTATGGATGATATTAATTTTTGAACCTTACTTAGCTTTTCGATGAAGCATCTCAATCATGCGAGGAATGACAAGAATTCTCAAAAAGTCCTTGTTAACCAATGATACCTTAAATACGAGGAATTTTCCTTGTATTGTTCTTCTTTATCGTCAGTTCAACAGGTTGAGCAAGTATATAAACTTGATTGTCCTTCTAATAGTAAATCATGACATCACACATTATAATTTTGTTACCATGGCTTGACGCTTATAAGGTTTTATAACTTTATAGTACACTTCCTACCTTTACTATGGAAATTGTACACAAGAGAATCAATAGCCCTCCCCCATTCAAAATTTTTCGAAGGGACTATTGTACTTGGGGATGGGATATGACTTAACTAGTAATGACTATAAGATCCTTAAGATTGATAACAAATCATGTAGTAAAATTCTCGCATTGAATAGTGGTTCTTGGAGATTAACAGATAAACATCCTATTGACCTTCAACATATGCTCACATCTACTAACTATTTGGTATTTGTCCACGGGGCATTTCATTGTCTTATTGGTTCATTAACAAAATACTCTATGATGTCATTTAGTATTTCAGACGAGGTGTAACAGAGAGATATCGTTGTCAGAGTTAATGTACTTGATTGTCTCTAACTTGTTCGGATGGGGTGTTTCAAAATTGGGAGGAATGTTTTGTGCTTATTCTCATTATATGTCTGATAGGAAGGACATTTTTAAGTTTTGGGTAATGAAAGACTATGTCAATGAATCTTAGACTACATTATTTATTATACAAGGTATCCATCTTAAATCAGTCATACCAAAATATATGTTTTCGGATGAAGAAGTGCTTATGAGTTGCAGACATGATTCACATGGTTGTTATTATGTCTTTAGGACATCCAAAGCACCATTTTGATTATGGCTTGAATCTGATGTCGTTCAGCAAAGATTCGTTTATACATCAAGTTTGATCTTCCGAAAATTAAATAGTTGAGGGTATTTGCTTATGTATGATGGAGTCACTTGACCTCTTTTGTGTTTTCATATTATAAATTGAACTCTTTGTTGCACTTTGACAATATTATTTTACTTGTAAATATCGAACTAAACTCATCTTACGTATTCGTAAAGGAAGAAAGAAAGAAATTAGTATATAGCTTAAAACAGAGAAGCAATTTAGTAGTACCTATATCTTTCATACGGTGTCAAATCCTGAAATTGTTTCTACAGATATGAACAATAATGAGAAAAAACAATTTGTAGCCAACAAAATGTATTAGCATCTATATTGTATTCCTTAATTCATGATTCTTCAATTCTTAAGTAGAAAATATTTACCAAAATACTTTAGTTACAATGAAAGTCAATTTTTAGAAGCTTGTCCAAACATGTTAATTTTTTTATCGTCGTTTTGTGAGTTTCATAACGAAACTACTAAAATCATTGAAGAAATTAGTGAAAAGAATAATCAAACAAATCTCGCCCTACTTTAAAATTTGCATAAACCTCATAATTAACATGAAAAATTAAAATTCAATTACGAAATGAACAAAGTTAAACTACATGCCTTCAAAATGCACAAACAAAGCAATTGAGAGCCAATATAGATGGCAAAACTAATGAACATATATAATACAAAAAGAAGAAAATATTAATATACAATTCACAAACTATTCATGCTAAATTTTTTCAGTACACAATCAACAAATTCATATATAGATAAGATTAAATTAGCATTTTAGTGGTAAAAAGGGACCTTTATTGCTGATTTTTTAAAGAAATAATTTTTTGTTGCAATTAGGTGATAATACAACTTTTGAAAACTGAGATCCTCAATGAACCATAAACACAAACTAGAGCCTCGAATAACAACCTCAACGAAAATAGTGATGCCTCTCCTTCATGTGTACTAGGTCTAACTAGCTATATGAAGGAAAAACAAAAGAGACGTCGAAAAGATAGAGTCGAAGATTGAAAAGAATTAATTTTTGTTAAGGAATACTCTTTCAAGTAAAGAAAAGATTTTCGAATTTATTGAAAATTTAGGTTTGTTTGAATTTTAAATTAAATTTACCAAAAATATTGTCACGCCCCAAACTAGGGGAGGCGCAACAAGAACCCGATGCTTCACCTGACCGAGTGAACCAACTAAAGCATAATGGAAATGGAATATTGAGGGCCGACGAGGCCGCCATAATTACCTCCTGAAAAAGATAACTAGACCAATGAGGACACAACCAATAAAAGACATAAGGAATAAGAAATTCTACGAAAAATAACTTCATTCTTGGGACAATAGCTCGCTAATAGATATATGGAATAAGAAATTCTACAAAAAATAACTTTAACCGTCGAGTATACTTCACATAGTACAAACACACTAATAATATGATAAATTCAAGAAATAAGATCAGTGCCCTCACAGAGGGTCTTCCTAGCAATAGAATAGTAAAAAAATGACTCATTCGATGATTTGCAATATTTAGGACTCGTGCGATATGGAGAAAATTTTTTGCCTTAACATACCTTGAATACGACCTTCCTAAAGCTACTACAAACTCCTTCTACCCGTTTCCCTTTGCCTAAAGATATGATTTGCTACCCTTCATAGTTCATACACAAAATAATGGAGAATATACGTACTTATTCTGAAAAGGGGGACATCTCTCAATTTTCTAAAGATATGAACATATATATATATATAGATAGAGAACAAGAAGATGATAAGGAGTTGCATACGTTAATTTTATTTTATTGTTTAGAACTGATGCATCACTACCCTTTATTTCTTCCGTATGTCAAAAGCTTATGTAGTGATATACATTGAAGTGAAAGGCGGTGGGAAATAATTAGACATAAGGGTGGAGACTTTAAACATTAGCAAATTAAAATTAATTTACCAACCTTACCTAATATTAATTACTACTGCCCACTTTCTTTCTTTTTATTAAGTGCCAACACGTAGCCAAAATACAATATTTAATAGTAAATTTATCTCATTGCGTAAACGCTTGAGCATGACGTAGAACCTTGATTTTTTAATATATCACAATCAATAGAAAATTATTTTGAATCAAGTTTACCTCATAAAATACAAATTTATTAACATAAAAAGATTCACTATTTCTGTTAAAATATTACTAATTGATAAAACTCTTATAAAAATAAATATATATACAAATATATTGTATCTAAGAATTTTTCCATAAATGCTTAAAACATTTTAGAAAGGCAATAATATAGAATTTTAAATTTCAGATTTTGATTAAAATACAAAGCAATCAAATCACGTATAATGTTATGATAAAAATCTCTACTTTAGGTTCGCAAGACTCTTACACGAGACAAAGTACAATCATAAATACCCCATGTGTTACAAATATATTAAATGAGTAATTATAAGATTGGGTGAAAAAAAAAGTAATTATTAGATTACTAAGTAAAAGAAAAAATATATTATTATTAATCAACAAGTGTATTGTTGTAATATTTGCTCAAATCATTCAAAAAAACAAAAAAAAAAACAAGGTGTTAAAATTTTTCTGTTGATTAATTTTCAATTTCATACAGTTGTGGAAGGAAGCTATTGTAGTCTCCTCCTCTTCATCTTCTCCAAGTAAAGTATGGCTGTAGATCTATGGAAAATACTGAAAGATTCAATCACACCTCTCTCTGACAACATATTTTACTTTCTACTATGTTGTCTCGGAGATTTCTGGTTCAGCTGATCATGGTTGCCACCACAGATTTCGAGGAAGAGATGCCACCCACAATTCAGCTTGGAGAGAAATCTGAAGAGGAAGTGATGGGTTTGATTCAAAGAAGATGGCAATTAAGGCTCAGATCTATCATATTTCTCAGAGCAGGTAATTTTCATAGTGTTATAAGCTATTATGTCTTCTGGGTAAGTTTTCTTTCTCCAGAATTTTCATTTTTTTCATTTGATTTACTTTCTATGTGAAGCTTTGAATTTGAATTCTTAGATTTTTTTTGGGGAAAGTTCTAAGCTTTATGCAAATATTTTAGTTTTCTGCTAAATTAGTCATACTATATCCATTTATCGCAGCCAACTCAATTTACAGCTTTTGACTTGTACTAATATTGTTACCTAGTTGATTGAATCTCAACCCATTTAACAACAGCTAGAAAGCCTTGCTGGTATAATGAACTTCCAATCATTCAACCAGAAACATATTTACATACTAAGTAATTAACTTGAAGTGATTATTGAGAATTTAATAGTTGTTATGGAAGACTAGGAAGACCCTGTTAACCATCTAAAAGTCAAAGGATCGTCGAAAATTAATACGGTAAAAAAAGCTCTAGGCAATTTAAACAAATTTTCCTTCATACCAGGTAGACTTTCGAGAAGTTCACTAAGATTGATCCGGTTGAAAATTCATCACGAGCAGGTCATGTGGAAGCAAACAGAGAAGAAGTTACAAACTAGACTACCATATATCTTTAGTTCTATATGTATATGTTTGCCTGCAGATGGTCTGAGTTTAGAGGGAAGAGAAGAATGGAGGTTAGATATTAGGATCAGAAACACGTGAAAAGCATATGAAGTTTAGTCTCTGTTAAAAAGTTCACCATAGTAACGGTTATGACTGAAAGTGCACCATGTGAAAGAAATAGAATTATTTTGAGTCCAAATAATAGTGGACTGTTGTGAGCCTTTTCTCCTTTACAATACTTTAGGACATTTTTATGCCCTTTTCGTTCAGAGTATGACTTTAAGAACTCTCATATAACTCATTTATCTTGTTTTTTTAGAAAAGTAGAAATCCTATTTCTCACATAAGAATTATATATTTTCATTAACAAATTTAAATGCTCATAAGAACTCTTGGATACCATTCGGTAGATTTCTTGTTCTTTTTCTCTTCTCCTTTCATAAATGCAAATGTTACAAATACTTGCAGACACATCATTAGATTTGTGTAAATTTCATTTGTATCACTTAAATCTTGACGTAAAATCTAATTAGATGATTTTCAAATAGATGCAATTGACATATTTCTAAACGGCTAAATCTCTTCCTGATTATGAATGCATGTTCACTAGAATTATTTTTATCACAACTTCCTCTAATCTCATTTTAAAGATGTAGCTGATTGATTTCCATTTATATCATTTTACTGGGAACTGAAAGACAAGGTAAATGGCTTGAACATGCAAAGGTAAAAGATCGTCTTCAAACATAAAAAATCTATAGAATTTTTTTAAATAACAAGTACTACATAATCTTTCAATGTTACTTTAGTGTGTATCATAAATAACAGTAAGAGTCTCGTGTTCTTTGAATTCATAGACTTGTCAACAATATCAAATGTTTAGTTGGTCACTTTACTGATTAGACACTTCAAAGGATTTACAGATTGTATAATCTGAAAATTTTACGAGAGTGATTAGTTGAAGGAATATGAAAGTCAAGTAATTTAGAGAATCTACGTCTCTTAAGTCTTCAAAAAAGAGGCCATCGATTGTTACTAAGATCCTCTTTGAAAACAGAGAAATATTAAATATAATTCTATATTGGATAGAATTTACCAGCCAATTTTAACTTTGATATTTATAGAAAGAAAATTAAGTAATCAATTTGCATAAGCTGCCGTTCAAGTAATAGAAATGCACTAAATGAGGTGAATTTGAGAAAATGACGGACCTCACACAGTGTACTTGGTCCACATAAATACTCTTTTTGACTGTCACTCTTCATATCACGTGGTCTATAGTTCAGGGGTTAACAACAGCTGTCCACAATACCCCATAATTTAAGTGTTAAACTGGAAATATGTGAATAGTTTAGGGAGTTTAGAGGTATTAACTCAAAAGAAAATCTCACTTAAATTTTTTATTTTTTTTATCATTTATCAAAAAAACAGGTAGGATAGCAAAAAAGGAAAAAATGTTAAAGATTGTTGACCAGAATCAATTTACAAGTGGATGACATTTCCATTCCATTTGACCAAGATTTTGTATACGACTCTTACTCCTCATCAAAGCTCACTAACATCCCACAATTTTCACCCAATATTTTTTTGCGCACACTGAAGTGAATAAACAATCTAAAGGTATTCCTAAATCTCTCTCTGTCTTATCTTCTTCTTTCATTCTCTAAGGTTGTTTTTCTGATTAATTCCTTACTCATGTCGGATCTTGATTCCAAAAGTAGTTGTGGGTGTTAAAGGAATTCTGTGTACACTTTGTGGAATTCTTTTCTCCTTTTTCTGGCTATTTGATTTTTGCACATACAGATCTGGATTTAAGGTTCTCTAAATTTGTATATCTTCGTTTCCTTCATTTCAACTATTCGTAATTTAGTGTGGTATGATAAAATGTGTGTTTTCTTGTCATAACGTTTAACTCTTTGTCAAGGTTGGTTTTGATTTACTGAATATTCATTTTGTTTAAATAACGATTCAATTGGAGTCCTGCAATCAAGAATGTAGCTTCTTTTGATGTTTTTACAGACTTCTCATCATTATCCAAAAAAACTGTAACATCATTTTTTTGACCTGCATAGGTTAAATGCAAATGTTGCTTTGGTTATTCCGTCTTTTCTTTTCTCAAAAAGAAATTTGGATTTTGAGGCATCTAACATATAAGCTCGATAGATAGAGGATTAGTAGTTTATATGAGAGAAAAGATTGATGTAGGCTTCATATCAGCTGCTAAAACTCTAATGTTTGTTCCCTTTTTATGGAAATCAGTCGGCAACTAGCACTTTAGAGGCAAACACACTCATGCCTCATTTGTTTGCACTTAATGGAGGTCTTAATTTGAATTGTTCAGATTCAGACAATTAAGTGCATTTGTTTGTATGATCTGAATCTTAATCATTCAGATTCAACTCATTAAGTGCATTAGTTTTTGTTTCATTTAAAACCGCTTAATGGATATTATTAGGTCTGAATGAATCTGACTTGTAGCAGAGTCTTAATATTATTCAGGCTCTTTTAAAATAACACTCTTTATTTCACAAAACCTTCCATGCCTCTTGCTTTTCTTCTCCGCCATGTTTTCACGCTTCTCCCCCTCCTTGCTCAAGCAGATACCAATCTTTCTATTCTTGCATTGGTAAGTTTCCAGAATCTTTACCAGTAATTTTTTTCTGGTATTTCTGATATTCACAACATTTTTGGGTGTATTGATGTTTATCAAGAACTCTTATTACCCACAAATATTTTTGTCTAGCGTTATCAATTGTGCGTAGACTCCAATACATCTTGGCATCTCTTAATCTTTGTGGCATCACCAACTTACATTAAAAAAAACATAGGAACATGTTCCATTAATCATATGCCCATGGGCAGTAAAGAAACAGGTGGTTGACTGTCTCCTGAGTTTTCTTGCAAAATAGCATCTGTTGACCTACTGCAATCCTTACCTATTCAGGTTGTCTAGAGTAAAGCATTGTTTAGTTTGATCCAGCTGAAGCATTTAATCTTCATAGGTAGATTGGTCTTCCATATTAACTTCCATGGCCATCTAGCAGGTGCTCGACTTTGTGAGCATAGTTGTCTATAACATTCTTCACTGTGAAATGAGCCTTTGCTTCCCCATCTTAACCTATGTGGTTCACTTTCATCAATACTGTGAGCTTCCACCTTTGCTAACATTTCCATTTAACTCCCATTACATAAAAATTAAAATCCTAGGTATTCCCTTTAGTCCAACTCTCAATGGTTTATGAAATAATAATTATCCCCAAGCATCCCAATAACTACTCTGCACTCAAGTCACCTCATGTTGCTTGGGTTCAATTAAATTGGATTCTTTAGCTTGAATCTAGCCCGAATGAATTATAGAAATTCATGGGGCTTCGCATTTGGTCTATGATTTCCTATTGGCTAATTCAAAAATGTAGTTTGCTGCACATATTCATATATTTTTAGGTTTATATGCAATTCTTATAGTAAAGATGCATTTGCTTTAAGGCCCTCTTTTGTTTTTTATGTTTTAAGAAAATCAGAAAGGGCTTCCAGTACACTGGCTAGAACTATGCTTGAAATTGTGTTATAAAATGTAAGTGAAAGAAAAAGAGGAATCTAAGATTATATTTTTTCTGTTCAGGTAAAAAACTTCATTAAATGTATCAAGAAGATGCAGAAGAGAAGTACATTTGAGCTTAGAAATTAATGAAAAGAAAGTTAAGAGAAAAGCGTAACGAAATCTCAGAATTAAATTTCCTTACTTTATTTGGAAGGCAATAGAAAAAAGTGTGGAAATTTGGTTGGAGGGATATACCGTATAAGGTAGGATAATACTGATTTACCTTTGATGAGAAATCGTTGAGATCACTGGCCAAGTTAAGTTAGAGACGGTTTTAGTAGAAGTGACCGTCCTCCATGTTAGCGAAGAATAACGACACTAGGTTTATGAGGAGTGTAGGGTGAGTTCCAATATTTTCTTTGATTTTGCATGATTTTGCTCTCAGTAATGATTATTTTGATTCAAAATGTGATACTTCCGTCAGCTATGCCAGCAAGAACTTAGTTCTCTGTCGTTATCTACAACCAACTTAAGTTCCAGGTTATATTTTCCTAGTTTCTTCACTTTTGGGCATCATAGTACTCCTCGGACGTATTTGTACTCTCTTCTATGTTTCTTTATATTGCCGGGCTAAACTTTTTATTCTTCATGGTCTGAGTAAATTCACAAGAACACAAATGACAATAAGCAACATCAATTTGATGTCAGGAGTTCAAATATTCTTCTTGGATCTAGAGAAGTAATAACCTTTCTTGGTTCTACAGGAACTTAGGAGATTGAAGCTTTTATGATGTCATTTCAAAAACAAGAAAAGATTGAAGCTGTTGTGATGGAAGAAGGAAATTCTCCTGTAAGGAGATGGGAGGACCTTAATATTGATATGCTGGTGAATATATTCCAGTCCTTTGACCTTTTCCAGTTGATCTCTGTAATTCCTCAAGTTTGTCCTGCATGGCAATTGGCTTGTTCTGACCAACGTCTCTGGAAAACACTGGACTTGTCAGTAATGCAGTCAAATTTCATCAGAATTAGAGCACCGCCGTATGTATATGTCGACACTCCATCTCGTGAAAAATTGACCCGCATCCTAAAGATTTGCTTGAACCTTAGTCGTGGAAACATACTGACCTTGATCTTCCATTATAATTTGTATGTTGACGACAATCAATTGACTTATACTGCCAAGAGGTATTCCCCTGATAAACTTTAATCTTTCTATAGTACAATACCTTCAATCAAGACACTGTATAGCAAGCATTGTTTGAGAGTTCAGGCTTCTGATATAATTTTCCATTGTATATTTAATACAGGAGAAGCAAAAATTACTGTGAAAATGAATTGGACAGCTAATTAAATCTCCTCTTTTTCAGGTGTCCACGGCTTAAACGCCTTGTTATGCCTGCTTGGGAAAAACTAAAAAAGCAAACAATATGCAGTGCTTTTCATGAATGGAAAGATCTTGAATCACTAACGATGCCTAGTTTAGAAGAACCTGCATATGTCATCGAGAAAATTGGAAGGAGTTGCAAAAAAATTTCTGAGCTAAAGATTATGGCTCCCTGCGATATACTGTTTGCATCTGCACTGGTCTCATTTCTTCCAAACTTGAAAGTGTTGAGTGTGAGGTGTACAGAGTTATCTAAACATGCTTTGGTTATTCTCTTGGAGGGGTTAAAAAAGTTGAAAGTGCTCAACATATCGCATTGCATAATTACTGAAGACCTTCCTCCACCTGCACCAATGAAAATTCTGACCGAGCTTGATGAATCCATTCTGGAAAAAGCGTCTAGGTTAGACAAATTCCTAACCTGCATGAGTGACTCGTGCATCATGTGTCAGCGCACTCAAAATGATGAAGGGTTCATGAGGTGGTATAAGTATGCAGACCTCTGGAAAGTGGATGAGGTGAAGTCTCTTGCAATTTGAAAACTTTAAGAATGTTTTGCTTCATTAGTTGAAGGTGCAGTATAATGTGTAAACTTGTGTGTATGAAACACAATAAAACCTTTTAATGCTACTTCTGTGTTGTAAGTCTATTCTCTTTGACTGGGTGGTTTTCATGTTCTTCATGTTTCTATGTTCTTTTATGCTTGTTGTTTCTCCGTTTCCGTAGTACACTGTAGATTCATTATCTATTTACGTATGTATTGGCAGACGTAATTTTATAGCATGTTTGACAACCTTTTGGGAGACGAAAAGAGCTTATTTCTCAACAACAAAAAAAGGATGAGGTTCTGCTAAAGCTTAGAGAAAATAAGTATATTTGGGGAGTAGCAAAGTTGTTCTTCAACAGTTGAAAAAAGTCTTTTTTTTCTTCTCAAAAACACTTTTTTGAGAAGATGCACTTCGAAACACTTCTGAAAATAAGTGTTTTTGGAAAGTATCAGAATTTGTTTCTTTCGAAGTCGGAATAAGTAGATCTTCAAAAGCGCTCTTTTTGAAAACACTTTCGAGAGTATGTGAGTGAATTTTTTTTTAAAAAAGTTTGGTCATACACTAATTGTTACTTAAAGGGCTTTTTAAATTAATCAGCCCAACACATTATTTCTCCTCAAAAGAATATTTTTGAAAAAAAAGAACACTGGACTCTTTTTCTTCCTATATATCTTGGAACGCTTTTTCTTGCCATATATTTTAGGAGTAAATATTATAAAGATAATTAACGACCAAACCACTTTTTTCAATGAGCGGCCTTAATTAGATCATTCGCAATAGCAAACCTTAGCTAGGAAATCATAAGCAATAGAGAAAAGTTGAAGCAACTTCTTTTCAATGGTACACTACTATCTCGATTATTTTGCCGAATATCTTTTGATGGATTATATATATTATACAATGCCCGGCTATTTTCAATTTAAGTTGACGAGTTGTTTAGGTTGAGTCTTTAATTTTTAATTTTAGGGGAAAAGAGTTACAAAACATTCAAATTAAAGAAAACAAAAGAAGATGTATGTTGATGTGACTCCGGACATCCTCAGCAAGTTACCTATGCAGTCACTTCTACGATTCAAATGTGGATGACAATGATTTATAAGCCGTACTTTTCGGCGAAGCATCTCAATCATGCGAAGAATGACAAAAATTCCCAAAAGATCCTTGTTAACCAATGGTACCCTAAATATGAGGAATTTTCCTTGTATTGTTCTTCTTTATCATCAGTTCAACAGATTGAGCAAGTATACAAACTTGATTGTCCTTCTAATAGTAAATCATGGCATTGAACATTATATTGTTGTTACCATGGCTTGGCATTTATCAGGTTTTATAACTTCAAAGTACACTTTCTACCTTTGCTATAGAATCCGTACACAAGAGAATCAATAGTCCTCCCCCATCCGAAAATTTTCTCAAGGGACTATTATACTAGGGGATTGGGATATGAATCAACTAGTGATGACTATAAGATCCTTAAGATTGATGACAAATCATGCAGTGAAATTCTCACGTTGAAAAGTGGTTCCTTGAGATTAACGGATAAACATCCTATTAATGTTCAGCCTATGATCACATCTACTGACTCTTTAGTATTTGTCCATGGGGCATTTCATTGGCTTATTTCATTCATTAACGAAATATTTTGTGATGTCATTTAGTATTTTCAGACAAGGTGTACAAAGAGATATCATTGCTAGAGTCAATGTACTCAATTGTCTCTAACTTTTTCGTACGGAGTGTTTCAGAATTGGGAGGAATGCTTTGTGCTTATTCTCATTATGTGTCTGATAAGAAGGACATTTTTGAGTTTTAGGTAATGAAAGACTATGTCAACGAATCTTGGAATTGAATTGTTTACTATAAAGATATCGATCTTAAATCAGCCATATCAAAATATATGTTTTCGGATGAAGTGCTACTGAGTTGCAGACGTGATTCACATGGTTGTTATTATGTCTTTAGGACATTCAAAGCACTGTTTGGATTATGGCCTGAATCTGATATCATTCAGCAAAGATTCGTTTATACAGAAAGTTTGATCTTCTCAAAATTAAGTAGTTAAGGTTATTTGCTTATGTATGATGGAGTCACTTGACCTCTTTTGTGTCATTATATTACAAACTGAACTATTTGTTGCACTTTAGTAATATTCGTTTGCTTGTAAATATTGAACAATACTCATTTTACATACTCATAAACGAAGAAAGAAAGAAAGAAATTAGTATAAAGCTTAAAATAGAGAAACAATTTAGCAGTACCTATATCTTTCATATTGTGCTAAATCTTGAAATTATTTCTATAGATACGAACAGCAATGAGAAAAATAATTTGTAGCCAACAAAATGTATTAGCATCTATACTGTATTCCCTAAATTCTTGTTCCTTTGAATCTTAAGCAGAACGTTAGATATTTACCAAAAGACTTTATCGCAGTGTAAGTCAATTTTTAAAAGTTTGTCCAAACATGTTAGTTTTTCCATCGTCGTATTGTGAGTATCATATCTAAACTACTAAAATCATTGAAGAAACTAGTGAAAAGAATAACCAAACAAATCTCGTTCGACTTTAAAATTTGCATAAATCTCATAATTAGCATGGAACATTAAAACGTTATTACGAAATGAACAAAATTAAACTTCATGCCTTCGAAATGCACAAGCAAAGCAATTGAGAGCCAATATAGATATCAAAACTAACGAACGTATATAACACCAAAAGAAGAAAATGTTAATACACAAATTCACAAACTATTCATGCTAAATTTGTTCAGCACACAATCAACAAATTCATATATAGATAAGATTAAATTAGCATTTCAGTGGTAAAGAAAGGATATTCATTGCTGATTTTTTAGAGAAAAATATTTGTTGCAATTAGGTGAAAATATAATTTTTGAGAATTGAAATCATCAATAAGCCTTGAACACCAACTAGATCCTCGAGTGACAACCTCAACGAAAATAGTGATACCTCTCCTTCATGTGTATTAGGAGCTATATTAATATAGCTAGTTATATTAAGGAAAAACAAAAGAGTCGTCGGGAGGATAGAATTGAAGATTGAAATGAATTATTTTTGTAAAAGAATGATAGGAAGGATTATTTTTAGAAAGAAAAAAAAGTAATACTCTTTCAAGTAAAGAAAAGATTTTCGGATTCGGTAGAAATCTAGGCTTAGTTGAATATTAAATTAAATTTACCAAAAATATATTAAATGAGTAATTATTAAATTATTAAGTAAAACAAAAAAATATATTATTAATCAACAAATGTATTGTTGTTGTAATTGTTGTAATATTCGTTCAAATTATTAGAGCTTTTTTTTTAACTCTTTAACTGCTAATTTGAATTTATTATTTTGACGGATCAAATTTATTTTTTTACTTATTTTCTTGTAATATAGATGCTCCAATTATTTCTTTAGATATAAAAATTAAATTACAATATAGCCAAAAAAGTAATTTTACATTTTTTTTCTTACTGTCTTTTTTCTCTTTTACCATTCACATTTTTTATTTCTCTTGTTTATACATGAAAAAAATGGGTGTTAAAATTGTTGTGTTGATTATTTTTCAACACACACAATCCAATAATCATTAAAAAAAAAAAAAAGGTGTTAAATTTTTTGTGTTGTTAATTTTCAATTTCATTCAGTGGTGGGAGGAGGCTATAGTCTCCTCCTCTTCATCTTCTCCAAGTACAAGTATGGCTGTAGATCTATGGAAAATACTGAAAGATTCAATCACACCTCTCTCTGACAACATATTTTACTTTCTACTATGTTGTCTCGGAGATTTCTGGTTCAGCTGATCATGGTTGCCACCACAGATTTCGAGGAAGAGATGCCACCCACAATTCAGCTTGGAGAGAAATCTGAAGAGGAAGTGATGGGTTTGATTCAAAGAAGATGGCAATTAAGGCTCAGATCTATCATATTTCTCAGAGCAGGTAATTTTCATAGTGTTATAAGATATTTTGTCTTCTGGGTAGGTTTCCTTTCGCCAGAATCTTCATTTTTTCATTTGATTTACTTTATATGTAAAGCTTTGAATTTGAATTTTTAGATTTTTGTTGTGGAAAGTTCTAAGCTTTATGCAAATATTTAGTTTTCTGCTAAATTAGTCATACTATACCATGTGTGGAGAATTTATCACAGCCAACTCAATTTACAGCTTTTGACTTGTACTAATATTGTTACCTAGTCGATTGAACCTCAACCCATTTAACAACAGCTAGCAAGCCTTGCTGGTAATGAACTTCCAATCATTCAACCAGAAACATATTTACGTACTAAGTAATTAACTTGTAGTGATTATAGGTGAGAATTTAATTAGTTGTTATGGAAGGCTAGGAAGACCCTGTTAGCCATCTAAAGGTCAAAGGACCGTCGAAAAATAATACTGTCAAAAAAGCTCTAGGCAATTTAAACAAATTTTCCTTCATACAGAGGTGGACTTCGAGAAGTTCACTAAGTTTGATTCGGTTGAAAATCCATCACGAGCAGGTCATGTGGAAGCAAACAAAGAAGAAGTTACAAACAAGACTACCATATATCTTTAGTTCTATATGTATATGTTTGCCTACAGATGGTCTGAGTTAAGAGGGAAGAGAAGAATGGAGGTTAGATATTAGGATCAGAAACACGTGAGAAACATATGGAGTTTAGTCTCTGTTAAAAAATTCACCATAGTAAGGGTAATGCCTGAAAGTGCACCATGTGAAAGAAATAGAATCATTTTGAGTCCAAATAATAGTGGATTGTTGTGAGCTTTTTCTCCTTTACAATACTTTAGGACATTTTTAAACCCTTTTCGTTTAGAGTATGACTTTAAGAACTCTCATATAACTCATTTATCTTGTTTTTTTTTAGAAAAGAAGAAGAAATCCTATTTCTCACATAAGAATTATATATTTTCATTATCAAATTTAAATGCTCATAAGAACTCTTGGATACCATTCGAGAGATTTCTTGTTCTTTTTCTCTTTTCCTTTCATAAATGCAAATGTTACAAACACTTGCAGACACGTCATTAGATTTGTGTAAATTTCATTTGTATCACTTGAATCTTGACGTAAAATCAAATTAGATGATTTGAAGATTTTCAAAATAATGCAATTGACATATTTCAAACGGCTAAATCTCTTCTTGATTATGAATGCATGTTCACTAGAATTATTTTTATCACAACTTCCTCTAATCTCATTTTAAAGATGTAGCTGATTGATTTCCATTTATATCATTTTACTAGGAACTGAAGACAAGGTAAATGGCTTTAACATGCAAAGGTAAAAGATCATCTTCAAAAATAAAAAATCTATAGATTTTTAAAAAAAAATAACAAGTACTACATAATCTTTCAATGTTACTTTGGTGTGTATAATTAATAACAGTAAGAGTCTCATGTTCTTTGAATTCATAGACTTGTGAGCCCAACGACTAAAACATTGTCAAATGTTTAGTTGGTCACTTTACTGATTAGACACTTAAAGGATTACTGATTTTATATTCTGATAATTTTACGGGAGTGATTAGTTGAAGGAATATGAAAGTCAAGTAATTTAGAGAATCTACGTCTCTTAAGTCTTTCAAAGAAGAGGGTGTAGATCGTTACTGAAATCCTCTCTGAAAACTGAGAAATATTAAATATAATTCTATATTTGTCACGACCCTATTCCTCGAGTCATGATGGCACCTACTATAAACCCACTAGCAGGTAAGCCAACCCGTAACCCGGAACAACAAGTAATGGGTCTGAGGGCAGAAACTAAATAAGAGTAGGCAAAATTTAAGATAACACTATAAACAGGCGGAAGCAAACCAAAACATATATACAAATAAAGATCCCTCCCAGAACCTGGAAGTCACTAGTACAGAGCTACTAGCAAAACGAGCACAAGTCCCAAAAGTGGACCACAGAGACTAGACTGTCTCGAAAGGTATAAGATAAGTCTGTATATACAGATGGAGACTGAAATAGTACAAAACGATGTGTGCTCACCCCCGTCTCCGGATCAGACTACTCCAAACTGGATCAACGCTGGCCACTGGTGCTCGGACTTGCATCACGAAACAGATGCAGAGCGTAGCATGAGTACCAAAACAGAAGGTACCCAGTAGGCATCAAACTTGAAAAGTAAAGGCAATATGAAAAGAAGGAATAACACAAACAGAGGTCAAGAACGGAAATCTAAGTAACAATGGAATGCACACGAGTGTAGAAAGAACTAACTAAAGTAATCTATAAGCTAACTACACCTAATTGGACCCCCAAAAGCCCAGAAGGTACACTCATGCGCAAGTTTAATTAAAACCCCGAACGGACCCCCATAAGCCCGACGAGTACACAGAATAACTATAACTAAAGAGAATTGCATATGAGAACCCAAGAACGGAGAACATCGAACCAGAACCTCAACCCCAATTAGTAGAATCTGACAGTACGGAGGCCGGACCTCGAATCGGATGCTCACTAGAAGTACCCAAGTAACCAATCACAAGTAGCAAGTAACTGAGGCCGGACCTCTTACCGGATGCTCTATATAAGTATCTGGGCGATAGAGGCTGGACCTTAAACCGAATGCTCTTTGAAGATATCAATGAGGTCAAGGACGGAGCACGAATCCGGATGCCCGACAAAGGCGCCAATGTAGCTGTTGAAAGAGTCTCAATTGATCCATGCTCATAAATGTCCGTGGAATGCCGTCCACACTTAGCCAATCAATGTAAGTCCTTGGAACCCGAATCGAAAACCAACTTCAAATCACGAAGCAGAACCAGTGTCGTCGACGTAACTCGTGAAGCCGTAACATCGGGGAAATAAGGATAACTATCGTCGGAGCAAGCGTATCGCCTAGCTAAGGCCCAAACTATCAGACTCAAGTCTGCTACACCAGTCTACAGGGATGTAAGTCGGCCGAGCGACGTCGGGAAAAAACTAAGGCCTATCGATTTTGAACCATGTATTTCTAAGGCAAGCCCTAGTCAAACCTAAACTAAGGCCCAACATGCTTCAGATAAACAGTAATTAAGCATACAGGCACTCCACATAACAAGGAGGGTCAATTAGTAACACATAGCATAATCACAGTTACCTGATAATTCCCGAAAGAGGCCGAAACATGATTTCTAAACACCTATGCATGATTCAATAACTACCAACCAAAATCCCAGCTAATCAACATGCATTCACACTCTCGAGCTCAATCTAAGACAGGGAAGCCGTAGCCTACCTGTAGGCCGATCACGCGCGCTCCAAAATCACTACTCCGGAGCTTTTCCTTTCCGAACGGCCTCGAAACGCTGCCACGCTATCAAAAATGGAGTCACAACGTTATTACGGTCGTTTAGACACTAAAATCGCAAGAAACGGAGACGGGCCAATTTCGGGGTCAAAATGGCGAAAGTGGGACCCGCGCTGGAAATTCTGGAATCAACCCTAAAAGTAGGTCCTAATCAGTTCCCCGAGCTCATGTCCCAAAATGGGACACAATTCGGGGCTCGGGAACAACACAATATCAACATGCAACCAAAACCCGGATTTTCTCAAGAACTAGAAATGGGACAGCAGCTGAATCAGTAAATTTACCAGAAACGGTAGGTCTACAGTGAATTCCGACAACACCACGACGTTCTCCTCGAAAAACCACTCAAGATAGCCTCAAGAATCACTGAAATCGGACCTAAAATGGCTGAGAAAGCAAGTCTCAAAAATTCCAAAATCAAGCTCACAAAAAGGGGTCGTGGCAGCAGGTATTTTACGAAATTTACCTCAAACGGGGACCCCAAATCAGTTTCCGAGCGCACCAACGCGTTCCTTGCGAAAACCCCCACAAGATGAACCTTTGAATCACTGAATTTGGACTTGAAATGAGAGAGTTAAGCCCTTTTAAAGTTTTAGAACAAGTGCTGAAGTTTCTGCATAAATACACCAGATTTTCAGCATATTTCGGAAACTTAAAAACTCCGACGAGGCGCTCCGAACTCGTTTGGAACCCCGTGCACGCAAACGAGATATGCAAACATACCAAAATTGATATTCCGGACTCAATGGCACAGTCAAAATTTCCATCAGAGGTCAGAAAGTGGGTCCCACTCCCAAATGCCATTTTTACCCAATTCCACAACGGTCCTCGGGATTAGACCGGAAGCCTCGGGAAGCGAATGAAAGGTCGTTCTAGACCAAACTTGACACTTTGGAACTAATCGCGCTGACGAAATTTTCATCCGAGCACGTTTTCCAAGAATGTTGACCAAAGTCAACCTTAGGCGAAATTTCAAAGGCTAAAATGCCTAATGGTCGAAACTCGCACCGAAAGCCTCGGTACTCATGCCAACCATGATACTAGCCTAATTTGGCCATTCCGGAGCTGATGGAACCGTCAAAATTCCATTCTGAGGTCGTTTACCTGACGTACTGACTAAAAGTCACTATTCAAGCTTCAAGGCCTCTAAAACACGGAAAGCTGCACAAAATCCAAACGAACAACCGGACGACCGAACTGTCAGTGCCAGCAAGTCATAAATGACTTGGGGTCGCTATAGGAACGCTCTAAACGACGAAAAGGAGGAATTAAGGCAAAAATGACCTGGAGGATCATTGCAATATTGGATAGAATTTACTTGCCAATTTTAACTTTGATATTTATAGAAAGAAAATTAAGTAATCAATTTACATAAGTTGTCGTTCAAGTAATAGGAATGCACTAAATGAGGTGAATCTGAGAAAATGACGGACCTCACACAGTGTACTAGGTCCACATAAATGCTCTTTTTGGCTGTCACTCTCCATATCACGTGGTCTGTAGTTCAGGGGTTAACAACAACTGTCCACAATACGTGTTAAACTGGAAAATGTGAATAGTTTAGGGAGTTTAGAGGTATTAACTCAAAAGAATATCTCACTTAGATTTTTTTTTGTCATTTATCAATAAAACAGGTAGGAGCCCCCAAGGCCTAGATCAAGTGGTAAAAGGTGGAGGATTTGTGGCTTCGGTCGCAGGTTCAAGCCCCACACCATGCAAAGCGAATCTCGGTATTTAAGTGGAGAAGGGTAGAGGGGCGGGCCCATTATCCACCGAGTTTAGAAGGCTGTGATTGGTCCAAAGGGAGGGTCATAGACGGATTTCTCGGCTATCAAAAAAAAAAAAAAAAAACAGGTAGGATAGCAAAAAAGGAAAAAATGTTTAAGATTGTTGACCAGTATCAATTTACAAGTGGATGACATTTCCATTTCCATTTGACCAAAATTTCGTACACGACTCTCACTCCTCATCAAAGCACACTAACATCCCTCAATTTTCACCCAATATTTCTTGCGCACACTGAAGGGAATAAACAATCTAAAGGCATGTCCTAAATCTCTCTCTGTCTTATCTTCTTCTTACATTCTTTAAGGTTGTTTTTCTGATTAATTCTTTACATATGTCGGATCTTGATTCCAAAAGTTGTTGTGGGTGTTAAAGGAATTCGGTGTACACCTTGTGGAATTCTTTTCTCCTTTTTCTGGCGATTTGATTTTTGCCCATACAAATCTGAATTCAAGGTTCTCTCAATTTGTATATCTTAGTTTCCTGCATTTCAATTAGTAATTTAGTGTGATATGATAAAATGTGTGCTTTCTTGTTATTAATGTTTGTCAAGGTTGGTTTTGATTTACTGAATTTTCATTTTGTTTAAATAATGATTCAATTTGAATACTGCTATCAAGAATGTAGCTTCTTTTGATGTTTTTACAAGCTTCTCATCGTTATCCAAAAAAATTGTAAACTTCATTTTTTGACCTGCATAGGTTAAATGCAAACGGTGCTTTGGTTATTCCATCTTTTCTTTTCTCAAAAAGAAATTTGGATTTTGAGGCATCTAACATATAAGCTCCATAGATAGATGATTAGTAGTTTATATGAGAGAAAAGATTGATGTAGGCTTCATATTAGCTGCTAAAACTCTAATGTTAGTTCCCTCTCTATGGAAATCAGTCGGCAACTAGCACTTTAGAGGCAAACATCACTCATGCCTCATTCGTTTGCACTTAATGGTGGTCTTAATCTGAATTGTTCAGATCCAGACAATTAAGTGCATTTGTTTGTAAGATCTGAATCTTGATTTAGGTTCAACCCATTAAGTGCATTTGTTTTTGTTTCGTTTAAAATCGCTTAATGGATCTTATTAGGTGTGAATGAATAATATCTGTAACAGAGTCTTAATATTATTCAGACTTGTGTTAATAACACTCTTTATTTCACAAAACCCTCCATGCCTCTTGCTTCTCTTCTCTGCCATGTTTTCACGCTTCTCCCCCTCCTTTCTCAAGCAGACACCAATCTATTTATTCTTGAATTGGTAAGTTTCATAATCTTTACCAGTATTTTTTTCTGGTATTTCTGATATTCACAACATTTTTGGGTGTATTGATGTTTATCAAGAACTCTTATTACCACAAATATTTTTGTCTAGCGTTATCTATTGTGCATAGACTCCAAGACATCTTGGCATCTCTTAAACTTTGTGGCATCACCAACTTACATTAAAAAAAACATAGGAACATGTTCCGTTGATCATATGCTCATGGGCAGTGAAGAAACAGGTGGTGGACTGTCTCCTGAGTTGTCTTGCAAAAATAGCATCTGTTGACCAACTGCAATTCTTTCCTATTCAGGTTGTCTAGAGTAAGGCAAGCATTGTTTAGTTTGATCCAGCTGAAGCACTTAATCTTCATAGATAGATTGGTCTTCCATACTAACTTTCATGGCCATCTAGCAGGTACTTGACTTTGTGAGCATAGTTGTCTATAGCATTCTTTCACTGTGAAATGTACCTTTGCTTCCCCATCTTAGCCTATCTGGTTCACTTTCATCAATACTGTGAGCTTCAACCTTTGCTAACTTTTCCATTAAACTCCCAAGTTTCTGGTCCTGCAACCTTCTGAAATGCGCATCCCAAGTGTTGTTTGTCTTATTTTGAGCAATTGAGGAGTCCTTATTCATAGCAATGTTAAAGATATTAGGATATTCCTCCACGAGAGTTGTATTGTTGAGCCATCAATCCTTCCAGAACTTGATATACACACCAGCCCCGTTTGACATGAATTCCATGAGAGAATTCAGACCTAGCATACTGATATGTTTCCAAGGACCAACTCCATAAAGCAGAACTACAGTGTTAGAGCTCCAGTTGTCCTTCCTACCATGTTTAGCAATGATTACATCCTTCCCCATTGCCATTTCATAAGTAAGAATTTGTTGTGAATTGCCAGATCTTTAACTCCATTTCCCCATTGCAATTTGGAAGCAAAACTTTGTCCCGTCATTTCAAGAATAATGATATCATTATATCAATAGCACTTGGGCATTTATTATGCAAGAAATGGTGCAATCCAAACAAGCTAGGATTCACATTTAGGATGCATCTCAAAACCCTATTTCTTTATGCGTATGGAGGAAAAGCCTTGAAGGCTCACTTTCCAAACATAACCCAAAGGATCCAATGATGATTGACATCCACAATTCACAATTCACATAAACGAGCTTACATAAACACGTTACGATAATGCCCAACTAAGTCAACCAAGTGACTAACACTTAAAATTCAACTTCACAAGTCTTAGCAAAAATCTATGTATTCGGAAGTCAAACCTTGAGTTTTAACTCCAATCCACCCATTAAACATGTTATGTAATCTAATTGCTCCATTAGAAATCCCACGCGATATTGTTTAAGCAAAGGCCCATCACTCTTCATCATTTTTACCAACAAACATCCAATTTCAAGACTAGTTTTCTAAGGTTCAAGGGAGCAAATTAAATATAAATCTTGTTTTATGAAAATTCTCTACTATGTCCATGGAGTATGATATATAAGATTGGAGTGAAGGGATAACCTTTTTGTCAAATCCTATAGTTTTCTCCCCATTGAACACCTTGAATTTGTATTTTGGTTAGGACTAACCGTATTGGTCTCTTCTCAATGATCTTGTACAAAGTTTGGTATGCCTAACTCAAAATATAACTTTTTGCACATCAATGATCAATGGAGACAAAGTTTACCCAAATAAAAAACCTATAATTCTCTAGACTTGTGCTCTTCGAAAATCCAAAGTTCCCATGATGTTGAGAAAAAGGGAATGCAATAAATGAACCAAATATACCAAAGAAATGCATTAATTCTCACCTTGATGTAGCATTTATGGTGGTGAGTTCTCTTTTCTCTCTAGACCTTCAACAATCAAAAACCAAAATAATAAACTCTCGTTCACCGTAATAGCCTTTAAAATGCTTCAACAATATGGGACGCTAGCTTTGGCGTGTTTGGAGAACTTCACTGCCCAGCATATACGTTCTAAACAAGCATCAATTACTGAATGTCGCTCCTCCCTTTCCATTCAGTTTCTTATCTAATTGTTCCTCATTAGTTTAGCCAACGTCCTCCTTATTTCAAGGCCCCTTGTTTGCATAAAGATTAAATAACATATCATTGACATAATGATTGCTCCAATCATTTGGATAATTTGATTCATTCCAAGATTTCAAACACTCATCTCATTACATAAAAACTAAAATCCTAAGTATTCCCTTCAATCCAACTCTCCATGGTTTATGAAATAAATAACCCCAAGCATCCCAATAAATTTTCTCCACTCAAGTCACCTCATGTTGCTTGGATTCAATTAAATTGCATTCTTTAGGTCGATTCTAGCCCGAATGAATTGTAGAAATTCACGGGGCTTTGCACTTGGTCTATGAGTTCTCATTGGCTAATTTTCAACTGTAGTTTGCTGCACAGATTCATATATTTTTAGGTCTATATACAATTCTTATGGTACAGATACATTTGCTTCAAGGCTCACTTTTGTTTTTAATTTTAAGAAAAGTAGAAAGGGCTTCCGGTACACTGGCTAGAACTATGCTTATAAAATGTAAGTGAAAGAAAAAGAGGAAACTAAGATTATATTTTTTCTGTTGAGGTAAAAAGCTTCATTAAATGTATCCAGAAGATGCAGAAGAGAAGTACAATTGAGCTTACAAATTAATGAAAAGAAAGTTAAGAGAAAAGCCTAAGATTATATTTTTTCTGTTGAGGTAAAAAACTTCATCAAATGTATCAAGAAGATGCAGAAGAGAATTACATTTCAGCTTAGAAATTAATGAAAAGAAATTTAAGAGAAAAGCGTAATGAAATCTCAGAATTAAATTTGCTTACTTTAATTGAAAGACAATTGAAAAATGTATGGAAATTGGGTTGGAGGGATATACAGTATAAGGTAGGATATTACTGATCTTACCTTTAATTAGAAATCGTTGAGTTCACTGGCCAAGTTAAGTTAGAGATGGCTTTAGTAGAAGTGACCTGCCTCCATCTTAGCGAAGAATAACGACACTAGGTTTATGAGGAACGTAAGGTGAGTTCCAATATTTTCTATGATTTTGCTTTCAGTAATGATTATTTTTATCCAAAATGTGATACTTCCGTCAGTTATGCCAGCAAGAACTTAGTCCTCTGTCGTTATTTACAACCAACTTAAGTTCCAGGTTATGTTTTCCTAGTTTCTTCACTTTTGGGCATCACAGTGCTCCTCAGACGTATTTGTACACTCTTCTATGTTTCTTTGTATTGTAGGGCTTAACTTTTTATTCTTCATGGTCTGAATATATTCACAAGAACACAAAATGACAATAAGCAACATCAATTTGATGTCAGGAATTCAAATATTCTTCATGGATCTAGAGAAGTAATAACTTTCTTGTTTCTACAGGAGTTTAGGAGATTGAAGCTTTTATGATGCCGTTTCAAAAACAAGAAAAGATTGAAGCTGTTGTGACGGAAGGAGGAGATTCTCCTGTAAGGAGATGGGAGGACCTTGATATTGATATATTGTTGAAGATATTGATATAATTCCTCAAGTTTGTCGGTCATGGCAATTGGCTTGTTCTGACCAACTTCTCTGGAAAACGCTGGATTTGTCAGTAATGCAGTCAAATTTTGTTAGAATTACAGTACCACCGTATGTATATGTCGACAGTCCATCTCGTGAAAAATTGACCCACCTCCTAAAGATTTGTTTGAACCTTAGTCGTGGAAACATACTGACATTGATCTTCCATTTCAATTTGTATGTTGACAACAATCAATTGGCTTATACTGCCAAGAGGTATTCCCCTGATAAACTTTCATCTTTCTATAGTACTATACCTTAAATCAAGAAACTGTATAGCAAACATCGTTTCAGATTTCAAGCATCTGAGATAATTTTCCATTGTATACTTAATACAGGAGAAGCAAAAATTACTGTGAAAATGAATTGGACAGCTAATTAAATCTCCTTTTTTTCAGGTGTCCAGGGCTTAAACGCCTTGTTATGCCTGCTTGGGAAAAACTAGAAAAGGCAACAATATGCAGTGCTTTTCGTAAATGGAAAGATCTTGAATCACTGACGATGCCTAGTTTAGAAGAACCTGCATATATCATCAAGAAAATTGGAAGGAGTTGCAAAAAACTTTCTGAATTGAAGATTATGGGTCCCTGTGGTATGCTGTTGGCCTCTACACTGGTATCATTTCTTCCGAACTTGAAAGTGTTTAGTGTGAGGTGTACGGAGTTACCTAAACCTGCTTTGGTTATTCTCTTAGAGGGATTAAAACAGTTGAAAGTGCTCAACATATCGCATTGCATAATTACTGAAAACCTTCCTCCACCTGCACCGATGAAAATTCTGACCGAGCTTGATGAATCCATTCTCGAAAAAGCATCTAGGTTAGACAAATTCCTAACCTGCATGAGTGACTCATGCATCATGTGTCAGCGCACTCGGAATGATGAAGGGTTCATGAAGTGGTATAAGTATGCAGACCTAAGTCTCTTGCAATTTGTAAACTTTAAGAATGTTTTGCTTCATTAGTTGAAGGAGCAGTATAATGTGTAAACTTGTGTGTATGAAACACAATAAAACCTTGTAATGCTATTTCTGTGTTGTAAGTCTTCTCTTTGACAGGGCGGTTTTCATTTCTTCGTGTTTATGCTTTTTGTTTCTCCGTTTCCGTAGTGGGTATTTCTCAATCCAAAAAAAAAAGGTGAGGTGTTGCCAAAGCTTAGGGAAAATAAGTATTTGTGGGGAGTAGCAAAGTTCTTTAAAAGTAGAAAAAAAAAAATAATCCTCAGATACTTTTTATAAGTTTGGTTAAACACTAATTCGTGCTCAATAGTGTTTTTATTTTTATTTTATAAAAAACAATTATTACTCATCAAAAGTAAATGTTTTCTTAAAAGCACTTTCGAAATAAGTTAAATTTAGAAGTTTGATCAAACATATTATTCTTCTACATTGTCTTTTGAATTTTGTACCTAAACTCCTTGGAGGAATATGACATGCTAGGTAAACATCACACTAAAAAAGCTCTTTGAAAGAGTTTCAAGTGACGTTATATGTGAATTTTTTATTTTTTTGTTTTTGAGTAAATTAGGTTAAAATATTCCCCAAATTAATACCGTTTCACTAATCTCATACCCAAATCATAAAATGTTCACAGAACCCCATGAACAATCATGAATTCATTGTGTAAGGTGGATTCATTTTAACATTTTCTTTCTTCCCTCACACATTTCTCATCAAGTTATTCCAATAGTTTAGCACACATTCAATAGGGGGTTTTCAATTTAAATAAAATTATAGTTCAAGAGGTAATAAAAATATTTAATAGCCTAAATATGAAACTGTAAAATGATAGTAATAATTGAGATTTTTAAAAAATCTATTCTATCTGTTTACTATGTTATTGTAACACCCCAAAAGTTCTAAGTCTAGATCAAATCTTGAAAGTTCAGAAATCAAGTTTGCAGAAATTTTGAGATCTACGAGCAGTATTTTGTGGGTCATAAATGAAATCACATATCGTAGATAAGGCTCGTAGAATCAACTTCAGAAGCATGAAGTTTTTACCTGAACTTTACGAGGCAAGTTTACGGGTCATAGACTGTCTCGTAGATCAAGTCTTGAAACTCGATATTTGATATGACTTTTACTGACATTGTTTAAAGTTCGTAGATGGAATCACGGTCCATAAGTAGGTCCTGTATACCAAGCTTCAGAGACTCAAAATTGACTTGATTTCCACGAGAGATATCTACGGACGGTAGATCAATCTACGAACCGTAAATGGTCTCGTGGAAGTTGTTGATATCAATTTTCTCTCAGGATCATTTTGGTCTTTTCGCACTCTTTTAGTTCTATACTATGTCATTTGGCTTATTCTAAGTGTGATTAAGGAAAAGTTAGTCGACTAAACCTCCTCATTCACACCTAACTCCCAGAAAATCAAATTTTGTGCGTTCAAAGTTTCTCCCAAACAAGAACTAGAGTTCCACAATTTCAAGTCTTAGTTTAAGGATTCAAGCTATTTTTTTCATTTCAGGTATGTGAAATTTTATTAATGGATATCCTTTCACCCATTGAGTCCTAGGAAAATCCTATAATTTTAGATATTTAATTACCTAAGGTGTTAGGGTTCCTATGGTTAACATGTCTTTCAAAGTAATTCTATTTCTCTCCATTATCAACTTGGAAGCATGTGTTTTTCTCATGATTCTCAATATGTTTGTTAGATTATACCTGATGAACCCTTCGAATATAATATGTTTTGAATTTTCATGTTTTTAGTTAACATGTAAGAATTTTCATGATCAGTTCATGTTTAGTATTTTTAGTATTTATGCATGAGACGGCATCAACTAAAGTGTCTATTATTTTAATATAATGCATTCAGTATTTATGAGTTATTCGGTTATCAGTATTATCAAAATAATCAGTTTTATTTAGTTATCAGCTTACATTTAGCTGAGAGAGTTACTTAGCACAGAATGGATTCTAGGAATGAAGGCTCACGGTTAACGTCTACTAAGACCTTTTGTAGTAATTCCTAAGTCTTAGAATTGCATGCCATCGTAGATCTATGTAGCCTTTGTAGGCACATATTATCATCTTAGGTGATTAAGTAAGATCAATCTATATACCCTGTTAATTTATATTGGGCCCTTTTTATGGGGATTATGCATCGAACTCCATGTCTAGCTTGCATAATTATATGTCAGTTTTAGTATCTTCCACAGTTCAGTCTAGTTTTTCAGATATTACATGACTATGACCATGACTTAGTTTATTTCCGTTCTAGTACTTATTAGTCCCATGTTATTTTATTTGGTCATTGCATCAGTTCATCTACTCTAGATCAGTATATCAGTTCAACTTAGTATACTTGTGATGCATGTCTCTCATACTTAGTATATTCAAAGTAATGATCACATTCTCTCTGCACTATATTGTTTGATAATATAAGTTCGAACATTCAGCATTTAGTTTGTAATTTGTACGACTTTTGATCATCTCAATAACAGGATTGGTTAGTCTTCATCTTTCGAGGACAATTGTTATATTTCTTCAGTATTTGTTATTTCAATTTTCAGACAATTAGAGTTAGCTGGGGGCTTGTCCTAGCAACTCATCCTAGTAGATACTTTCAAATAGACAGTCAGTTAGATGTTAGTTTTTTTGCTTTGAGTATGTTTTGATGAAATCATTTTTGAGTATTCAATTTTAATCATTCGGACTCGTCATTTATTTCAATTTAACTTCCGCATTTACTTTTCTTTTTTACAAGTATTATATATGTTAATCTCAGAATCATGTCAACCATGGATTAACTTGGGATTACATGTGTCTCTAAGCAACATGTTACGACTAGGGGTACTATCAAGTCGTGACAATTATAGTGTTGAAACTCACTAAAAGTGCAACATTTAAGGTACATTTTGATAAATGCAAATGACAAATTCAACTTATTTTATCTTAGAATCCTAAAGAATATCGTAAAGTCTAAATTCTAAAACCTTTAATGTAAAACCTTGATTAATTAACTTATTGGAGTTGTAAAAAAATGCGAAAAATAATTGTTAGACAATTATTTTTGGCAAAGATTTTTTTCAATTTTCATGCCACAATAACATTAGACTATATCTTCGTTGTCAACAAAGTTTAGTATGAATTAAATGCCATTTTCTACCTAATTTCTGTTAAGTTGAGTGTCTAAATGGTATTCAATCACATTATATAATTATTATAGTCACCTACATGTGATTAATTGAAATAAAAAAAATTGACACACTATAAATTTTAAATTTCTCCATATTTTGTGAAAATAATTTATTGTTATACTATATGAATTTTCTAAAAAAAAAATTAAAAATGTACTATACATATTCACAATTTGTGAAAATGAATAATTTGAACTATTTAATATTTAAATCTAAATATCTTAATCATTAATATGTATCCAAATTAAAATAACTTAATTTTCTAAAAATGAATGCCATAAACCCTCTGGTGAATATCATATGGCGTCCTTAATCAAAATATTACTCAAGAAAAATATGACTTTAAAAAAATATTTAAAAAATCAAAGATATAACAATATTTTTGTGTAGATTAATTTTCTATTTTATTTAGTTGCAGAAAGAAGATTGTTGTCTCATTTGTATTAGACTAGTTATAGATGGTATGAACTTAGTAACATTAATTTTCTATTTATAAAATTTATTTAAATTATAAATATAATTTATATTTAATTATGAAATGTAATAACACTTCATTAGTAACCTAAAAAAATAATCATGAACAGCTGAATGATCCTAAGCAGAAATGTTGACAATCTCATGTCTGTTTAAAATCATTTGTCTTATTAAAAAGTAATATCCTATATCACTTATTTATTAAAAAACTTATGTTAAAACCCTCAAGAAAAGTTATGCACGACTATAAAAAATTACACATTGTACATGAAAAAAAGAAATATTCCTTCCATTTTAATTTATATTATTTTTCATTCTTTTAGATTCAAATTATATAAAGTTTGATTAATATTTTGAAAGGCATCTTTTATTATATTGGTATGAGGAAATTCATAATATATATTCTTTAAATTAAAATTTAAAAATAATCAAATTAACTTTTAAAAAATGAAAAATGTCATATAAATTTGACCGAGGAAGTACACTATTTTTTCAATATGAGTTATGAGTCAAAAACACACTTAAACTATCTCACTTTATTGAATTTTATACATGAACTATTGAGATGTGAATTTTCTACCTGAACAATCACTCAATGATTAGTGTAACACACTTAAACGTTGACTAGACCAAATATTTGTCTAGAAATGCTTCCAGGCGCATTTGTTCATAAAATCTTTGTCCACCTAACATATATAACGACTCTATTTACTAACAAATTATTTTTTAAAATATATTTTCAATTGACTTCTTTAAAATCCTAAAACACTCCCCTTTCAAATCAGATATATTGATGTCATGGTATACAAGAACACGATTAAGAAGGTGGAGAAGATGATGAATGTCACAATTGGAATAAATTAATAATTACGATGATAACTTTAACATTTGATTTAATATTAATTTATTTAAATTTGTCACAATGAGACTATTTTTCCGCGTGGAGTGTCATCAACCACGTGACAAAAAATTTAAACAAAAAAGAGTGTACACACTTTATTGGAAATTAGCCAAGGTATGTTCCCCTAATTATTAATGATAGGAAATTATCGTCTCAATAGTTTAAATATGAAATTTTAAAATTTAAAATAATTTATATGTATTTTTGACCTATTGAGTACCAATTCTTATAATATATATTTGGCTTTTTACACAAAGGCATATGTTCCTCAAGAAAACAAAAAAGATGGTATCTTTCATTTCCAGAAATAAAACCAAATATCACGTACTAAAATTTGTATATATTTTAAGTGTTTATTTTCTGCCCCTGTTATTTATTTAATAAAAAATAATTATTTGTAGATTACAATAATTTTATCTATCCAAACCTAATTTACTTGGCATAAGTCTAAAAATTTTTATCTTCTAATATTGAATCGTTGGCTCGCTTGATATAAGTTCGGTAGAAATTAAGTTATATAGTACTTTTCAAAATTGTTGTGGTG